TTGAGCTCGATTCAAGCTCGAACTCAACCCACTACCACAATTATAACGTAGGCTCTCCTACAGTGGGAAGACATTAGGCGAGCACCTCCCAAATGCAATGGAGGTCGCTTACCTAGGCCATGAACCTTGATGATTGTCCATTGATCTCGTCCATGTTAGTATGTCGAAAGGAGGTAGCTGCCTTTTATTTATAATGTCAAATAAGTTGTCAACTCATGTACTTCCCCAATGGGATATTGCTCCGGGAAAGAAATATAAGTCTAGCATTTGGTGGAAAGCTGAATCAGTAAAGATCACATTATAAAGATCAACTTACCATTATAAGTTGCAAGAAAAAATAGTTGTAGCGTTTGTCAACTTGAGAGCAAACATTAGGTAAGCACAAACCCATCAAGATTACTGTTAAATTGCCCTCTTTGTGGACGACAAATGCAAGTTCTATCATCAAATCGATGAAACGAATATTAAATTCATATACCTCACGTTAACACAAATGCATAAACTTATCCTTAATATTTGGCTAAATTACAAGTTATATCTTATATAATATTATGATTTATAAATTAGTCTCTAAAATTACACCTAAAATTCATAATTGTCCAAAATTTAATGGATATTTAACTGGGCGGGAGGATGCGGGGCGGGTAAGGTCTCAAACTCATTACCCGCCCACTACCCGTGAAGGATACCACTTTCTAAATCCACACCCGCCCACTACCCACTAAAATTATACCCATCCTCGCCCCAATTGAAGTGGATGTAGTACGAAATCTACGAAATTATACCCGTTTGCGATCCCGACGAAATGAGTTTCTTAAGGCTTAAGTTATAAACAATGGTAAAAAATGTGTTTTCATATCAACTTTTGTAACATTATCACTTTGGATTTTTTTCCCTTGAAAAGCAAACTAAAACAGTTTGACTTTATAAAAAGAACAATTTCCAACATGGAAATCGTTATCCAAATGGATAAGAATTAAAAAACAATTAATTAAAAATACATTAAAACATGGTCCCATTCCTCAAATACTTTTTTTTATATAAATCAACCTCAATTCTTTTTACTATTATTAAATAGTAAAGTTCGCGATGTCACAAAATTCTTATTTAGCAAAAGGATTTAAGTTTATAACAAATTAGCTTCTAAGTATCACAAATCTAATTACCTATTATAAGCAGTTCATAAAATTTTATTTTTCATTTAAATATATATTAAGTTAATGAAAGGTAAGTTAGAGTTTATGAGTGATAAACTATAATTAATTTAATTTAATAATTTAAATGTAATTATATACTAATTAAGTGACATAAGTGATTAAAAAAAATTTATTTATTTTAAAGAATTTGAATTGAGTAATTACTTAATATCAATATATTAAAAAACTTTATATATATATTACCTTATAATTATTTTAAATTGTTCAATATATAAATATACAGTTCATAAATATAAGCATATCAGTTAAACATAAAGCAATGAGACACATGTAAGAATCCTCTTAATATGTACGTTTTAAACCAATTGCTTTATTTGAATTACACGATCAAAACGCGAATACATAAGCCAATACACAACATAGGCTTACTACCTCCCAACGACGTACACAAACATATTGTAACGATAGTACCATATTGACATAATTTAATCTACTCATTGAAGGAGTCTAATTTACTCGAGCTTTGCACATATGCTATATCATGATCAATATCAAGTATTTAGATAGTCATAAGAAACTCTGTTAGATATATATATATTTGAATCAGCTAAAGTAAGTACAAGGGTTGACATCTATTGTACTCGAACCCGGGTCCTTAAGAATAACAACAATTCTTTATTATGGAAGCCACTTGGCTTTTGCTTTTCCAATCGTATTTTAATTATTAATATAATATATGATTGTAAAGTATTTTTTAACTGAAAAATAACTTAATTTTCTATTAAAAAATCTTAGTTTGATTATTACAATTCTTAATATCTTTTATAAAATTTTGTTATTAATATACTTATAAAATTTTACCAATTTGAAAGAGAAAAGCTTACTAGACCAAAATAATTTTTTTAAAATATTAATGTTGTTGGCAATTGAATTAAAATTTTAAAATTAAAAAATGTATATTTTATTTTTAGGCATATAGGGTAATTTAAGCATTTAAAAAAATTATGTTTATTGATAAATGATATCAAAATAACCTTTAATTGTATCTTTTTAGTTCTTTTATGGTCTTATGATAATATATGTTATGTTTCTTTCATTACATCTTATAGACAATGTTGTTTGAACTCAAGTTATCTTAAAAAGAATATGTCAACTTTTATATTGGGACCCCTCATTAAATTTTGTCATGATAAACATTTTTAAAAAATAAACATAACATGTTATTTCATAATTCATTTGTCCCATTTAAAATGTCTTTTATTGACTTTTTTTGGTTATTTTTTTTATTTAAATTTAAGTTATGATAAAATATAAAAAATATATTTTATAAATATTAATAAGTAGATTCAAAATATATGTTTAATAAAATTTATTTTTAAAAAATATTTAAAATAATCATATTTAAAGTTTAAATTTTTTTATTTCAAAAGGTCAATATTAACCCTTTTTAATAGGACGGAGATAATATTAAAAGGGAATAGAATTTGATAGTCAAATACATGCCACATAAAAAAAAATCCTACAAATATTGGGACAAGGGCTTGAGTACCTACCGTAGTAGATGCTTAAATCCCCTTGGTGGGAGAATTCTAGTTTTAGGTACGAAAGAACAAGAGACGCTTCTCACACCTTAAGCTAAGCATGGCACAAAGAAATAAAAACTTAAGTATATAAGGGGTGTTTAGTTAGCGAAAAATATTATTATTAAGATAAATAATCTTTTTTGAAATTATATTTTCATATTTGGTTTGTGGAAAAGATCATTATCAGATAATAATTTATTATCAATAGTTGTATTTTTTAGTTAAAATGATAAGAATGTCATTACCTCTAAATTCTTAGATAATGATCAATTCTCACCATTTTGGACACAAATATCTTTGAAATAATAATTTTTTTCATATGGATCATTTTCAATTTTTATTATTCATACTTTACTCAAAATTATAAACTTAATAATATATATAAAGAGTTTAATTTAGTAAGATAAATAAATTTAAGTAGTTAGAATTATTTTATATTTTAATATTAATTTATTAATCATTTTATAATTTATAAGGTGAAAATGTTATTATTATAAAAAATAATTACTTAAAATAATATTTAATTTTGAGTTATTACAAATATATCTTATATTAAAATAATATTTATTTTTCATATAATATATATTTTATATAAATAAATGATATTCATGAAAATTATTTAAAAAAATATAAGTTTGATATGCTAGTTATATTAATTATATGCTAAATGTATTTTTTTTCCTTTAAACTTAGATAGTGTAACAACTAAAATTTTTAAAATTCTCATTCAAATATTTCTAATCTAATATTAAAATTTTATATGTTAAAAAAATTTTATATCATAAGGATAATTTGATAAAATATACATTCAATAAATCTTATATTCTTCAAATCAAACACTATAATCTTATATGCCAACTAACTAAACTAATAAAGTAATACAATATTTTCAAAATAATACTACGCTATAATAAAATAAAAAATATTATATTTCGTGAATCAATTGGACCTTAATTATGCAGAGATATCTTTGGACCGGAGCAATTAATGAATTTTTGACCCACCGCTTCAGAGAACCTCTTTAAACAATGATAAAGGTTGAAGATTCGACACATAATGTAGCTAACTGTAGTGGTTGACTGTGGAATTTATACAACCACTAATAATGGAGCCGATGCTACCTTTTGACGAGGATATCCATGGTTGACTACCTCTTACCCTAGCTTTGATGGCGCACTCAACGTTGGACGGTGTAATCTAGTTGATCTTAAAAGTAAAAGTAAAATTTGGTCTCAATTTCAACGAGGATCGAAATTGAGTTTAAATGCGAGATTATTTTAATTTCAGGGTTTGGAATTAATTTAAAATAACATTTAGTTTGTACAATTTCATTTGGAAAGGTTAGTAGATTTTTTATTTCAAATCAACTATAATTGTTCATGTTTAATTTTAAACCTGGATTATAATTAAATTTTATATATACATACGATAATTAGGTATATTTGGAATATATTGAATCATTTGAACAAGTATTAAGATACTTAAGTATAATTTTGTAGTAATAAATTATTAATGGGATGATATTTAATTCAATAATTAAATAAAAGAGATTTAAACTTGATGTTATAAATAAAGAAAATCAAGTTAAAAATCACTTTGTAATATTTTTTTTATAATATGTAATCTAAATTATTCAATCATAAAATTAGACATTAATGACTATAAAATAGACAAGCCTGATCTTTAGAACTGAGCACAAATGATGGCACTGACTTGTGAATGCTTGTAACCTTATGATAATTATTGACATAAGGTTTATTAAACGTGTTATTTAAAAATTGAAGGCTTGGATTATTAGATCCATAATGTTATATGAGAATCGATACAAAAAAAATGAATTTAAAATTATGAATGAATTCACGTCAATTTAATAATTCTGAAAAATAAATATTTAAACTATCACAATAATTATAATCTAAATGATTAAATTTTAAAAAAAATATTTCAGAAATTAAGGAAAATACTCGTTAAAATAGTACAAACAATACAAATATATGGAAAATCACACAATTATTTAATCCAAGTATTGTTCTAAAACATAATTTATGTTTTTTTCTTCTTTATGGTAAACCAACCTGATTCCTAAACCTTAAAACATCTCTAAATTTATAGATACAGTATAGCACAAACCTCAAATAAAGGGAGTAAAATCGCCTCTACATTCTTCTCAAACATACAAGCTATCACAACGCTACACGTGTCCCTATACTAAATTAGACAAATCCAATATCCGGTATGCGCAACCTAAACAAAACCATAATTTTTATCAAACTAATAGTAACCATACACGTGTCAACAAAGAAGTAACTAACTTGGGCCCCTACCCATCTGATGAAAGCCGCTAGAACCATAGACATGCCCCTGATGCTGCTGGTGTATCAGCATCCCATACATCCCACTACTGCTACCGGTACCGGAATCACCACCGATACCTCCGCCCAGAGGAACATCTTTATCACGTGCCACCGCGGTCTTCTCTCCCTCCATCTCCCTAAACTTCTGCAAGTAAACCTTCAGAGGCTCGACGTAATCCTCGAAGCCCAACGTGGTCATGGCCCACAACAGATCGTCGCCGTTGATGGTCTTCCGCTTCTCTTTCTGGCACTTATCGGAAGCTTCCCCGGTGATGAAGCTGATGAACTCCGACACACATTCTTGCACCGTCTCTTTTGCTTCCTTGGATATCTTGGCGTTGGCTGGCAGAGCCTTTTTCATGATCCTGCTGACGTTGGCGATGGGCAAGAACCTGTCTTGTTCTTTCGGGGAAGAAAGATCTGCGTTGGAAGCGTTGTTTTGAGCTCCTCCCGACTCAGTGTCCGAGTCCACCATGGCCTTAGCTTCTGAAGCTTTCCTTGTAGAAGGAAGGGTGAGTGAGAAAGAGCAGTTGAAGTTGACTATATATTGTAGCAAGAGGAGCTAGGGTTGTTACCTTTTTAGTGGGGATTTTGGTGAGCTTTGAAGAGTAGGGAAAAGCTCTAGAAGCTTGTTGGCATGGAGAAATAATGAGCAAAGCAAAGTTAAGACTCTAGATAGATATAGAGAGAGAGAGAAGAAGAAAAAGATAATTGAGTTTTGGGTTTCCTTGAAAGTGAAGGATTCAAGTAAAGAGATTTGGCATTTGTGGACATGGGGTATTGTTTTTTTCTTTTCATTTTAGTTGTTGAAATAAAAGTCATGAATCGTGGAATGAGATAATTAAGTTTAAGAACCAAATGTACAAATATAATTAAAATTTAAGATTAATATGAATAAAAATTAGAGAAGACTAGATTGAAATGATATCAAATTCAAGGGTTGAATAATAATACATTGATTTTTAGATTTTGAAATAGAAAACTTAATCTTTAAGAAAACTAATCCAAATGGTACGCACTGTGCGCGGTTCTTTCCGATAGTTGTTTAGTTTCCACGTGAGGATGAATCCAAGCCGTCAGATTAGTTTTAAGTTGTTTTTTTTGCCGTTAATGCCTTATTTGCACAAAGAATTTATATTTTACCGTGATTTTAATACACGACTAATAAAAATATTATTAATTTTTTATTTTTTAATAAAATTAATAAAAATTACTGAAAATATTATTATTTTTATTTAAAATATTATTGAGCGTTTTACTGAGTTTGATAATATATTCAATAAAATACTATCTAAAATATTATTTTTCTACCGGATATATTACTAAACCGAGTAAAATATCTAATAATAATAAAATCGATAAAAATAATAATATTTTATTAACTTTATTAAAAAATAATAACAAAACAGATAATTTTTTAAATCGTATATTAAACTACCTCACTTGATACTCCTTTATTTGCACGTGATTTAACTTCCGCGTTAAATCGGTATAACCCTCGAAGTGCCAGTCTAATTGATAGGGTTGACTTTATGTATATCACATTGGTTAAAGCATATATAAAAAAAATCAAGCAGACGCATCTGTTTTCTTTATTTCAACCTAGTGTCTTTTAATATTTTTGTGTCGTTTATTTTTTTTTCTTTTATTATTGTTTAATTGAAGATGACATTAATTTTATTTAGGCCTGTAAATGAACTGAACGTTCAGCGAACCGTTCATGAACCGTGCGGCGGGAAGTTCGTTTATGTGCGTTTATTTATTAAATGAACGAACATGAACAATATTTTTTGTTCGTTTAATTAAATGAACGAACATGAACATAGGTCTCGTTCGTTCATTTACGTTCGTGAACGTTCGATTATGTTCGTTCGGTTATGTTTGTTTATGTTCGTTCGATTATGTTCGTTTATGTTCATTCATTTATGTTTAACTCAATCTTCTTAAATCAATTTTGGTGACCAATTTGTAAGTATCTTAAAAATATTAATTAATCTGATATTCTGATGACAACTCCATAATTAACCCAATTTTATTTAGAGATTAAATCCAATATGTCAACCTGTGAGGCACATCGCACCTATATTCATTTCTCCCTTTTTTCCCCAAACCCTAGTGTCCACTAGAGAGTGGAGACAATCGCTGAAAGCTTCAAAACAAGTTATATTATAGTGCAATATGAAGTTTTACAGGTCTGTTTTCATCTCTTTCTCTGTTTTATTTGGCTTAATAGTTGATATGTAAAGTTATTGCAGGTATCTTCACATCTAAACCCAAGAAAACATCATACTTCTTTCTTGAAATAGATGGGAAGATAAAGGTAACAATCGGAAGTATATGAGCATCAATAAAGAGAAAATATATAGAATTTGCCAGAAAACAAAACAAAAGTTTCTATGCAATTTCTGAAAAGAGTGTAATAGCGAAAAATGATTGTTCATATGTAATCATGGACCACTAAGATAAATGTTATAGCGTTAAATTAAAGTTGTGTGAATCATTTAATATCTTTAAAAGATCGATCAAAATATTTGATATCTTCAAACATTTCATCACTGCTAATAAACTCTTACGCTATTTATCACTGTAGATTTGGTTGATTTGCATTGTCGACTATTTTTCATGAAAGAACAATGGAAGGTAAGGTCTCCAACGTTTATGTTCGTTTATGTTCGTGTTCATTTATGTTCATGTTCGTTTATGTTCGTGTTCGTTTATGTTCGTTTATTTATTAAATGAACGAACATGAACATATTATATTCCTTAATAAACGAACATGAACAAAAAAAATTTTATTCGTTTATGTTCGTGTTCGTTTATGTTCGTCTATTTATTAAATGAACGAACATGAACATACCTCCGTTCGTGTGCGCTCGGTTCGTTTACAGGCCTAATTTTATTGTTAGTTACTCACTGTTGTGATTATTAATTTTATTATTTTTTATATAACATTTTTTTATTTTTTTGGTTTAAGTATTTTTAATTTTGAATAAAATTTTTTGTCTTTATGACATGATTTTTCTCTACTCTTTTGACCTCGTGGTTGTTGGTACATTTTTCGCATACCTTTACGGTCGTTTTGGTTATCGCACAAAAACTATCACGATATTTATTTTTTGTTTGGTTAGTATGTGGTCACATATAGTCAGATCTCATCTTTTAGTAAAAGCTTATTGGTCGATGTAATCAGATTGTGTAGTAAAGCAGCTTGTTAGATTATTTGGTTCGCTCTCTACTCCTTTATCACTTCTTCTAGCGTTTCATTCGACAAATACAATGATTTTGTACGAAGGTTATTGTGTTTTAATTTTCTTCGTATATTTAGTTTTAATTTTTTATTTTTGTATGAGTATTTTGGTGACCATTATCTCTAAATTTTCTCTATATTTTGATGATTTGTAATTTTAATTCTGCCAATTATTAATAAAATCTAGTTGCCATTGTTAACAAAAATTCAAACAACGATAACTTCTAATTAAAAGTATCTATTTTGTAACGTTATAAAATGATATGAGCACAACTAAAATTTAGTATTTTTAATATGGGAAGATTCAGATTAAATTCTAGAAAGAAAATTTTATGCGTTTAAAGATTAGATTTATTTATTTTTATAAATATTTTATAAAAAAGTAAAAAAAAAATATACATGTGTTAAATAAGAAAAACAAAACAAAGTGAATATCTAAAATAATAATATGATACAAATCAACTTAAAAAAATAAAGAGAATAAGTTGAATTTTATCCTAAAAACTTTTAGGCTAATTAAAAAATAAATATTATATACCAATGTATATAGTTATTTAAAAAATCATCTCACAATCTAATTTTCATCACTGGATAGACGTGTGCAGTGTCTACTTGGATGGGTTTAGGAAATGTTTTATGAGATTGATGATCAATTTAGGGGGTCAGTGAGTGCTCCACCAGCTAGTGGAGCAACTTCTCCTTCTCTCTCCCATATGTCATTATTTATCCCTTAAATTAATCATTATACATACGTGATGAGGTCTTTCATAAAGATTACTTTTTATTCACAAGTGTCAACATAAATGTCACAAGAAAAAAAATAAAATTTTTACACGTCACTTTGAAAAAAAAATTACATATGCCTGTGCCACTCCTACAATGTACTGAACACATTGTTAGTGTAAAATTATTTTATGTTTATAATTATATTTTTACACTATATTTACTTAGATGATATGATATTTGAATTATAAGTAAAATAAAACAATATGATTATTTATAGTGTAAAATTATTTTATGTTTATAATTATATGTTTATAATTTATAATTTAAATTTAACATGTTGATGTTTCTTTTAGATTTATCAACATCTTAAAGTGGAGATGGTGCGATGAGATTGTTATGGATGAAAAAACATGAAGCAAAATGAAGCCCCGAGTGGGACTGCAAAACCGAGTCGTCCAATTGAAAATGGGCCTACCTTTCCCATTTTCATGTTATTATTGCATCCACATGGTGAGATGTCAATTCAGATATCCAATGCTTCAGCCCTGGATGGATCCACAAATAGGCGCTAATGGGATCAAAATATCATGTTGCAACCCGGATATGCATGTTCACCCACACAGCTAATAAAAATCCTAACATACTACATGTAGACGTTAATATTATGGATGATTCTTGTGAGCTTCACAAGAGATCATTAATTTAATTTATAAAATTTACAATTCTAAAAGATTCAACATATAATTATAAATTAATTAAAAATATGAAGGCAAATTATTTAAAATTAAAGGGTAAACTATAACATTGATCACCTAATTATTTTCTCTTTTTATTTTGACCACAATTTTTAAAATTTTGTCAATCAAGTCATTTAACTATTTAAATACATTCAATTAAGCCACTTGCTGTTAATATTCAAATTAAAAATATATATTTTTAAAAAATCTCAATTTTTTAAAATCTTTATAAAAGAATTCATACATCTATTTTCAAGTCGAAATCTTCTAAATATTTAAATCTTGAAATAAGAATTCTTAAATTTTAAATTCTCATATCCAAATTCCTAACTTAAAATGTTGTTGTATTTCATTTATATGACCCACATCGATAAGATGATGAATGTAACCCCCTATACTCGGCCTGGACATTATGCCCAAATCTAGACTGTCACATGTCGTATTCAAAAATTCTTTTTATATTTAAAACAACGTTAAAATTCATATAACAATATAATATGAAATTTATCCATAATAAGGATAAATACGATAAACATATATATACATATATCAGAAAACCGTATAAAATATTTACGTAACAAAATAGCGATAATACATATATATCAAGACAATAGCAAAACACATGTCACCAAAATATAAAAGAAATGCATATAGAAATATACAATGATACAAAATTATGAGAAGTCGATCCTCTTGATGCCAAGTCTGTTTTACGGAATCAACTAAAAAAGCTCATTGTTCTCCTTACGGTGTATAAAATCATACAGATAAAATATTTCAGTAAAAT